GCTCTGAGCTGGCAGTCAGCACAGAGCCCGACGCGGGGCTCGAACCCACGAACCGCGAGATCATGACCTGAGCGAAAGTCGGACGCTTAACCGACTAAGCCACCCGGGCGCCCCGCACACTGTGAATTTTTAAATATTTTATAGTAATTGACGTAAGTTAGCCCTGGGCCTGGCACAAGGTAGGTGCTCAAAATGATCTTTCAAGTATATATATGCAGGTACCTGTACGTGTGTATATGGAGGTGTGGGTGCACGCATGCACATGCACACACATTTGACATTCCGACAAAGAGAAAGGTGGCTGAAGATAGATTTCATCGCCATTACTATGCAAGATAACTCCTCCCAGACACTTGCCTGGTTTTCCTAGGAGAGGAATTTAAATCAAGATTCAAAGGACTGAAAAGAAAACACAATCTATGTAAATACAGGCATTCAAACACCAAACCAAAAGATTGCCAATGCAGCACAGTACATCTCCAGCTGAAGGACACCTCGTCCAACACTCCAGCATTGCACGTGGAATAGCATTTCATCAAAAGTATAGCCAAAGTTGCTCATGTGTTTCCTAGAATGTGACCCTGAATCTGTTCACCAAGTGAGCGCTGGGAATTCTGAGGCCCACGTGAGTGTGTGCTCTGTCACACATACATAAGAATAACACTTGCTGATAAATCTGCTAAAATCTGAATTCTGTACCCACTGGTCATTTGTCTTAACTTTGTTCAAATTCATCCAGTGTTTATCAGATGATAATGAACATGCCACTTGTGATTGCCGATATACAACTGGGGAGTTGTAGGGCAAGATTCCCTTGTCGGTTTTTCCCACCAATACGATGGGGGTAATGGTTTGTACTTAAGAAGTCAGAGGAAAAGTGGGACATATGCAGAAACCAATTCTGTTTAGATCCAGAATTAATCTAGATCATATGTATTATCTCACACAATGAAGATCTAGCAGAGTGAGAAATAAACTATTACTACCTGAGTCTTACTAATTTTTAAGTAATTACCTATGGTTTCTTTTAGACTGGATCTGATTCCTCTCTGCTCCATTATCATTGTTGTAAAGAAAATCTTTATGCTCAATGTCCGTTGAAGTCTTGGTAAGAGAAGAGAAAGGAGAATATTATCTAATATCAAGCATATTTAAAGAAACCACTATTGGAGATGAGCAAATATAATTATAGTTTTCAAAAGGAAAAGAGGTGCATTCCCCAGACTATGATTTGGAAGCTGAAGATTTAGTTTGAGAATTTGGAGCCTCAGAGTAGGGAACACATTGACATTGAAGGTTTGTCACAGGCTATAGAAGGTTCTTAGGTTGGAGGCCATTCGAATCTCTACAGTATCAAAATGAATTGTGAGGCCTGGAGTACAGATCCTGTACTAATTAAGTACAACTGCTGTACTTCTGCCAAGGGGCTTCCATGCCCCTGACAGATCAACAGGAAAGGAGGCTTTTATGACTCAACCGATGATCAGTGTAGATAAAGCTCCATCATAAATGGAAAAGGAAGCCCAATAAAAGTATAGCATCAAAGGAAAGAGTATGCCTGGTTGGAAAGCTTTGAAGTACCAACACATACTTCTATTTTATAAAAATGCATTCACGGGCTACAGACACAAGCCCTTCTCAGTCACTGAGAAACCAGTGGATTTAAGGACAGGTGGAAAGTCACAACTTGTTGGTAAATAGAGGAAACCTGTTGGGCAGAAATCATTTGGTAGGAGCTTAAGGGGGTGACACCAAGACCAACGAGCGGCAATTACAGGGATTTGAAATTTTGGCTCAACATAAGAAAATATTTTATGATAGCCATCACTGCTCTACAAGGAAATGGGTTCCCTTAGTGAGCAGAGAGCAACCTGTTCCTTGAAAGGCTCAGGCTGAGGTTGCACAGGGATGTTGAGGTGGGTTTCCAGCATCAGATGGGCAGACCACTCCACAGATACCAGCGGAGCTCTGCCACGTGCCAGGGACTCCTCTGCCTTTGTGGTTTCTTTGGCTCTTCGAGTCTTACATTTGGATGATGCCAGTTGACATGGAATGTTGACCATCCTCGTCCTCACCTATTTTGCCCTACATCATCTTGTACTATTGATCATTGGCCTTGCCTCTGACATTTGTGAGGGCCTGTGAAGCCACAGAATAAAGTTTATACTGTACATATGTAAATATTTAATAGTTCAAATGAGAGAATGCCTCTAGGGAGCAGGAAGAGGAGGTGTTTCTCTGTCAGCTCCTGGCAGGCTCCTTACGGCAGTGTGCTATGGCAGGCAAGAGTGTGACCTTTGTGTCAGAATGACTTCGCTTTCAGAACCTCGGTTTCCTCCTCTGTGAAGTGAGGATGATAATATATCATAGATTATTGTGTCTGTAAGTTGCCTAGCTTAGTGCTGGCATAGAGTAAATTCTTACTCAACCTCATGGAGACTATAATTCGGCTCTGCATAGATTCTGCCAAGGCTCTTAATTAACACGTTACCTGGCACACAGTAAGTGCTCAATAAATGGTAATTCTTGGTAGAAAGAGTAACACAAGGGTAGTAGCAGTAGTATAGTAGTAGTAGCAGCTAAGCCAGGACTTAAGACATGTATCCCAACTCCTAGTCTGGTGCTTTCTCCAAAACCTGGCATTGTGAGGTTTTATGCTCGTCCTCATTTTGCTTTGTGGCAATTAGATGTGTGGCTCAAGACTTACAGTGTTCCTCCCTTTTTAAGAATGAGCAGATCAAATTAATACCCTGACATTTGGAAAGCAGCTTTGACCTCTGTGACTTTTGCACTCTTTTCTCTGAGGAGGGTATTATGAGGATAATGTGAGAACAATAGACTCAGAAATTCCAGTTTACCTATATCAGTGCCAGTTCCCGTCAGTTTGGAGGGTTAATTATGAAAAACCCTCTTTCACTCTCAAAATCATCATAGTTTGGGTGACAAACCATTTGGTCACTCTAAACCTAGCGCTCACCACTCTTAATCGTAGTCATTTAAACATAGACCAGACTGCACAGACTCCAGACAAATTGTATGCAGTTCGTATTTCTAAAAAAGTGATTGTTGCTCTTAAGTGATTGTGTGTCACTCTCCTGGGCACAGATAAGTGGCCCATCAAAAATCATCCAAATGGGACCATTTGCAAAGAATTTTCCTGTTTCCCTGAGTATCTGGAATGCAAAGTTGACACCATTCTTTCCTGCAGGAATCTGTGTTATAAATAGTATTTATCGTCTATCCCTCTGAGAGCCTGGTGAAAAATGAGTGGGGGCTGGGGGCGCCCAGGTGACGCTCTCTTTGCATACAGAAGATTTAGCACAAAGATTTCCCCAGGCTTTTTTCCCTGGGTGTGGACAGGGAGGTGAAGGAGAGAGCAGTTCCGCAGCCGGCCTGCAGTTGGAGTGTGCTGGGAGAGGCCCACTTTGGCATCATCTGCTCCACACTCCCCCAGATCAAATATCAGCTGCCGGAACCAACTGGTGCCTCCTGGAGGTCTTTAAAAAATGATTTTCCAGCTGTGAAAGGCTGCGCTATTGTTCTGCTGTTTGGCCACCTTCTCTCGGGCTGGCCCACCGGCAGCAGCCACGCAGGGCAGCCAGAATGAGTCAAATCAAAGGGTCAGCAGTACGGCCACCGCCCAGCCACCATCCCTCCTCTCTCAGCTGTCTGGTGTCAGATCATCAAAGGCCCTGCATATGGCCCTGTGCTTGCTCAGCGTTCACCTCACGGGCCTCTAGAATTTTCACAAGTCAGGGGAGGCGCCAGGAGAAAATTTGCGGCCCCTGAGGGTGCCCTAGGGGTGGTTAATAGCCAAGGAGGGTGACAAGAAAGGGGGAAGTTTAGTGTGCTGTGGTTCCCAATTGTTTGGCTAACAGCCGGAGGTTGACCTTGAGCCTGCGTCTGCCACATGGCAGACGCACCAGCCGGGCAGCATGTTCTGAGAGATCGGGAATAATGGAACTTGAAAATGCAAATGGTTTTAATGAATACTTCTCCCCTCCTATACACCCCCCTTCACCCCATAGTTCTGTGTGTAAGAAGAAAGGTTTCTCAGTTTATAGGGGAAAGTCCCTATTTGTTCTAAAATCTAAAAGTATAATAGAGCCCCATCCTTCTGAGGCCTCTGCCCACTGTCTGAGCCTTACAGGCTTCACTCTCCTGGATCATAAGGAAGCACGATATGCCATGCACTGTGACTTGATCCCGAGCCAGGGCAGTGGCTAAATGAGACTAGAGACAAAGAGCCTTTTATGAGAATGATTACCTGGGACTTAAAAAGGTGACAAACGGCTGGCTGTGGACTTACCATAGCAGTGGGGCCTGCCTATGACGTTTGTCAGCTGTGTGTGTTCCTGCGGCCGGTTCATAGTGTTACTCTCCCAGTCCGGTCACGAGGGCATTCAGAGCTGGGGCGGAAGGGAGGGGCAGGTTACAGGAATGCCTGCCTCTCTGCTTCATGTCACTGCTTCCACACAGGTGCCTCCCTCCTTCCAAGATGCAGCCTGGGAGGGAATCAAGGGGCTTGCCTGGCCACACTTCGATGCCGTGCCTGGACTACCTGAGTCAGTCTGATCTCTATCAGGTCACTGATTTTGTGAAATTCATTCTTGGCCTTAAAATCTAAGCCCCAGCAGCTTTAGGTGGCATAATCAACATTTAAGGGGGGAAAAAAGTACTCCTTATTTCCCATATGTGAATTCTGATCCTGGTGTGTGACTAAATTTCCTGTACCCCAAAGGGTTTGTATGTAAACAGGGAGGCTCTATGTATATAATAAAATCTATAAGACAGAGTGGGTCTATGAAAGTAAATGCAGACTGTCGTAATTTTGATCTCACTATCTCCCAAAGTTCTCAAAAGTGTTTTGTAAACTGCAAAGCAATACACAAACGTAAGCGGTGTTGCTATGGTTATTTTATTTTCTAAAATGCCTTTTTTTAAAAAAATGCAGAACTGATTTCTCTTGGAGAATTGGTTGCATGAAAACATCCGATGAGCACAGAAAGCTCTAGCTTTGTCACCCGGCAGTTGTCCAAGCGCTGTTTCCGTGGGTCATGCGTGTCCAGGATTCTTTGCCCTGAAATCCACTGTGAAGGCAAATTAGAGCTATGCATCATCTTAAAAATGAGCTTTGGAAACAAAACCAACTTGGAACGTGATGCTAACATTTTAAACGGTAAGATATACAAACTGAATTAATTAATGGGGAACTATTATTAGATGCAGGGTATTTCATCATACAATAACTCCTGTGTCCACACAAACAAGGCTTGTCTAGGATGGCTCATTTACAGGCTGGTACAGCTTGCATAAAAAAGGAAAAAATTAAACTGGGGGCTCTTTGAATATAGCATAGCGCTAAAAATCGCATTTACCACTACTTTTTACACCTACATTACCTTTTTCAAATGCTTAACTTATTTTTACTGATCAGTAAGCTTAGGCGATAAGGCTGGATTTACACAGTTGTTCTCGGAATGGGCTTTGAAAGCATCATGTGGTAATTTTTTCAAAAAGAAAAAAACTTGGTTATGGAGCCATAGACCATTGTCCTGAAGGAAAAGGAATCTGTCCGCGTTTCTGTTAAGGTGGTTAACCCGCAGGCAGAAACAACTGCTCAGGATATTTTGCAAATTTGCATTTACATTTGTTGATTCCATATTAAACTGAATAACCAGGCACATGGAAGGTAAAACCCTCTTTTAATTAACCCTCTTGGTGTGGGCCCATGTGATTAAATATGACGGAGCTGCTCCTGGGGTTTCTGCTACTGAAAATACTAACAATAATCATTTGTTTTGTTTTTATATTTAAACACATTATTGCATAGCTTGGTGCAGAGATAATTACCAATTTTATCTCCTGTGTTTTTCTAATGTTCATTAATAACAATAAAGGGTTGTAGGTTAAAAACTCATTTAATTGCCTTTATGTTAATGACATTATGAATAGCCTTAGCTACAAGATTCTAATTCTGTCCAGTATCCTCTTTCTCAGTGGAGCCCCGGGAGGGCTGCTCATTTTATCAGCATTACTGATTCAGAGTTTTTCCTTGCAGGTGGGTTTTTGTACATAATCAGAATTAATGCACAACACATTTTGCAAGGAATGGAGTAGAAGCACTTGGAATAAGTAATTAACTAGAGTGCCCAAGGAAATATGCCTGAGCATTTTTTTAGCATATTCATAAAACATTAAGAACAGTCATAAACACAGTAGAAACAATTTCCTGGTAATGTGCTTTTAGACTATTTTCTGGCTGCTTTTTTTTTTTTTTTCTCAAATTTCTCACATAGGGGAAAATTTTTTTTTTTTTTTAACTGAAAATCCCAAGGATGCAGACAAAATGCCCAATGTGTGGCTCTTTGGGATTAGATGTGCTTCTGGGCTGCTGCAACCATGTTGGCCGTCTCGGTACCATTTCCTTTCTCTTCCTCTGCTCCCAGCTCCATCACATACTTTATCGGGCAGGCAAAGGAGTGAACGCAGCTTGCAGCATTCCAAGAGATGTGGTTACCCACCTATTCCCAGTCTCTAGCATTAACCTCATGGCATGGGAGAGAACGCCCAGGAAGGAGGAGGGGGTAAGAAGGGCGTAAGAAGCAAAACACTGTTGTAGTGGCTGCCTTGGCTTACCACCCAGGCTGCCTCCCCCACCTTAGACTGACACACTCATTCCTTTAGCTCTTGATGGCTGACGGCTCTCAGCTGAGCCCCTCTCCCCAGGTCATCAAGGTCATGTCCCCCCTCCCCCACCCCCAAGTATCTATATCCAATGACAGGTCAGTAGGAGAATTTAAGGGTTTGCTCCCCACCATTCCCTCAAGATAAGATAACTGAGAAGGCCTTCCTGACATCAGAGTGCCCTGGAGGGCTGACTGAGGCCGTTGTCCTACATTCCTCATCCTTCCTCACAGATGATGTTCTGGAGAGCACTCTCTGATCAATCTCCTATGCACAAATCTCAGAGTCAATTTCCTAGCAACTTCACCCACAACAGGTAAGCTACAGTTATCAACTGACCCATCTCCATGCTGACTGGTGGACACTGAGGAAGCAGACACTCCTGGGTCTCTTTGACTTTGGTATCCTTTTATGGTGCTTTGGGCACAGAGCATGACCCCCTGGATGGTGCCAGGAGCCGGGTGAAGATACGCTGCCGTTACAGTGAGCAAAAATCATGTGAGCCTTAGAAGATGTTTGATAATGTTTTTAAAACCACAGACCTTGGAGTTAGAAGGCTGAGTTCACATACTGGCTGTGGTTTTTGCATAAGTTACTTAACATCACCGAACACCAGCTCCTTATTTTGAAAGTGGGGCTAATGGCACAGGTAATGTTTGTATGGTATTTACCCAGTCCCCACTAAGTTTATATGGAGAGTATGATTCTGTGGGTTTATTTAATTAATTTATTTATTTTTAAAGTTTATTTATTTGTTTGAGAGAGACAGAGACAGCACGAGTCAGGGAGGAGCTGAGAGAAGAGGGAGAGAGAAACGGTCCCAAGCAGCCTCCCGGAGGCCAGCACCGAGCCCGACACGGGGCTCAAACTCAGGAAACCATGAGATCATAACCTGAGCCAAAACCAAGAGTCAGATACTTGCCTGACTAAGCCACCCAGGCTGGTTTTTTCTTTTTAAGAGGTCAAAATATCAACTTAATTTCATTTATTTATTTATTTACTTATTTATTCATATTTTAAATTCCAGTATAGTTAACATACAGTGTTATATTAGTTTCAGGTGTATGAAGACTATGATTTTCAAATGCTGAAAATAATCTTCACCACAGCCGGACCAGTTTCTTCAAGACTGAGGTTTAAGATAGGCCTGGCTCTTAGGTATTCAACACGTAATCTAAATGGGAGCCCACAGAAGAAGGTGGCACAAACCTAGCACAAAGCTCTTGATCAAAGGAAGAACCAGAATATGCATAAGGTCCTGGGTGACTTAGAGCACATCCACATTCAGTTCTCCCAAATGCAGGTAAGGAGAAGTAGGCAAAGATATTGGTTTGCTAGATACCTGGAGGCTTTAATGCATTAGCTTATGGTATCCTCATAGCACCCTTAATTGCGTACTGTTATTGTGCCCATATTACAATTAAGGAAACTTAGGTTCAGAGAGTTTATGTAGCTTTCCCTAGGTTACACAGCTAAGAAGTTGCAAACCCAACCCTTGCCTTTAATGACACTTTATAACAGACTACCATGACTTGAAAAATCACTTAAAGTTACCCCAATATCAGTATTTCCCAGCCAATTAGATATCCTATTCTTTTTTAGTAAAAATACAAAAGACTCAAGTTCTATGATGATTTTAATATGAAGATGATTTTATGGTGGTACCTGGTGCTAATAGTATCTCACAGTGAAGTCACAATGTGTTGGTGCTTTAAAACATAGAGGCTTTAGGGGTGGCTCAGCTGGTTGAGTGACTGACTCTTGCTTTCAGCTCAGGTCATGATCTCATTGTTCAAGAGATCAAGCCCCACTTCCACCTCTGTGTTGACACTGCAGGGCCTCTTTCCTCTCTCTCTTCTCTCTCTGCTCCTCCTGAGCTTGCACACTCTCGCTCAAATAAATAAGCTTAAAAAAATAGAGGCCTTTCTTTGCCTATGGCATCATAACTTGGACGTATAATTCCCTTGGTCTTAAAATTAAAGATTGTGCTTTCAAAGCCCAGTGTAAGAGAGGTGGAAGTAATCATTATTCAAACGATGTCACATCAGATTTTGGTTAATCTACCTGTTCAAAAATGCATTGGGTACAAGAATATCATTTCCATATAATACTACAGGTCTGTACAGCACATGAAATTTTTTCAGATGATTTTACGCTTATGACTTCACAACAACTTGGTGGAGTGGTTATTAAGCACCATTTGATAGAAGATAAGACTTAACTTCTTTAAGGAACCTGTCCAAATGCCAAAAGTTCTCTTGGCAGTAGAGATGAGTCTAGAGCCCCATTCTTTAGACTTGGTATTACTAAGAACGTTGTCCTTGGGCCAGCAAAGTCAGCGTCGCCTGGGAGTGTGTTAGAAATGTAAGCTCTCAGGCCGCACTGGATCTACTGAATCAGAATCTGTCTTTTAACCAAGTCCCTGTAAATTTGTATGCATATGACTGTCTGGAGGCACTGTCTCATTACACTGTCTCAAATCCTCTCTCATCGGCAGTCTAGAATGTAAGCCCCTTGAGGGAAGGCCTGCATCTGGCTTGTCCACCAGTGTACCCTGAACACTTGCACAGTGTCTTCGCCAAAGTAGGCTTTCCATTAGACACATCCACGACTGTATTGTTGGGTAGTCTGGCCTGCCAGCCAGTTAGTATGTGTATCCCTTCCTAGAGGAAACGACAATTTTCCATGTTCCTGAAGGTCCACCATCAGCACAAAGGTATTTGCCTAGTTCATTTGAAAAAGGTAAAATCATGCTTAAAAGATATACTGAAGCCTGTGGTTTGCAGTCCTGTTTCTTAGCCCACAAAACCAGTGCCTATCCAGAGGGGAAACATTGTACTGTGTAATTATTTAAATGAAAACAACATAAATGAAGAGAAAGGGCTATTTATATCAAGTGCTACTAATTAAATGAGAAATAATGGGCCCTGCTGAGAAAGGATACAGTCGGAGAGAGAAGAAAAACTTCCTGCCAGCAAAGACTAGCAGACAATGGGACAGTTTTCCTAGTGGGATAATTATGACTCCTGGAGAAGATTGTCCGAGGCAGATGAGATAAGTACCAGGAAAGTGTAATGTGCTTCCAACCCTATTATCAATGATGCTTTCAGGCACCAGTTCCGGGTCACAGATTTTGAATACACTAAATGCTTAATTCAGTGCTGCCCTTTCACCCAAAAGATCTTGGGGTAAGAGAAGAATATGTGCACCAGTCCAGTGCTCCCTGATTTAACTCCTCACTGAAATACTCTAGGAATAAATGACAGGGGAGGAAATTACAATCCCACTTCGCTCCCCCACCCAGAAATTGATTTCCATTTCAAACAGCTGATAGAACCACAGTGTGGTCATCTGAAAGCTTGTGAAGTTAATCCTCCAGCCCCCTGCATTACTTTTTTTTAAA